CTCATAGTGTGCAACACATGCTTGACCACAAAAGTGAATCCCTGAATATACTCAACCCATTTAGCATGTTTAGCATTTAAGTGCCGCTGAGAGTTGATAAACCTAAGCGCCTGATGATCAGAGTATAGAACAAATTGTTGCGGAAGGAGGTAGTACTTCCAATGCTCAAGGGATCTCACAATCGCATAAAATTCCTTGTCATAAGTGGAGTATTTTTGTTGGCATCATTAAGCTTTTCATTGAAGAAAGCCACAGGGTGACCTTTTTGGCTTAGTACACCTCCGATTCCTGTCCCAGACGCATCACAAGCAACTTCGAAACACTTTGTAAAATCAGGTAAAGACAAGACTGGAGCTTGAGAAAGCTCTTCTTAATATCTTGGAAAGCCATGGAGGCTGTAGACAAATTGTTGCGGAAGGAGTAGTACTTCCAATGCTCAAGGGATCTCACAATCGCATAAAATTCCTTGTCATAAGTGGAGTATTTTTGTTTGGCATCATTAAGCTTTTCATTGAAGAAAGCCACAGGGTGACCTTCTTGGCTTAGTACACCTCCGATTCCTGTCCCAGACGCATCACAAGCAACTTCGAAACACTTTGTAAAATCAGGTAAAAAAGAAGACTGGAGCTTGAGAAAGCTTCTTCTTAATATCTTGGAAAGCCATGGAGGCTGTAGATGTCCACTGAAACTTGTCTTGTTTTAAGCAATCAGTGATGGGAGCCATAATGGTACTGAAGTTTCTAATGAAGCGTCTATAGAAAGAAGCAAGGCCATGAAAACTCCGTACTTCATGAAGAGATTGTGGCTCAGGCCATTCTTGAATGGCTTGGACTTTCTCAGGGTCAGCTGCTAAAACCCTTTAGAAACTATGAAACCTAAGAAGATGACTTGATTTTGAAGAAATGAACATTAGGCAAGTTAACATAAAATGTTCTTGACGCAAGGTGAGAAAAATTAACTCAAGATGTCCCAAGTGTTCTTCTCTTGACTTGCTAAAAACTACTAATGTCATCAAAGTATACCACCAAAACTTTCACAAGTAAGAGCGAAAGAGGTGAGTCATTACTCTCATGAATGTACTTGGTGCATTTGATAACCCAAAGGCATGACAAGCCATTCAAACAACCCATCTTTCGTTTTAAAAGCAGTCTTCCACTCATCTCCAGGCCTAATCCTGATCTGATGATAACCACTTCTGAGGTCAATCTTTGAAAACCAACTAGATCCAGACACTAAATCATGCATCTTGGACCTCTCTCATTGGTGGTAATTCAGATCGGAAGCTCATCGGGAGTGATATCCAAAATTGTTGTAAGAGCTGTTGCACTTCCTCTGGCATTTTTGAAGTAGTAGCAATCATTGCGAGATCTTGGATACCAAAATAAACACGATCGTACTCTCTCTGCTTTCTTGTACAATTGTTTTTCTGTCAGAAGATGCAAATTGTGGGTTTTGGGTTTTGTGCCCGTTGATTTACTTGAGCCTTTGCCTTCGTTGTCAGGCTTAGCAGGACGTAATAGGATCGTCTTGCCTCCATGCTTAAATGTATAGGTATTCTCACGACCATGATTGATAACATTGTGGTCATAAAGCCACAGTCGACCAAGTAAAATGTGAGCAACAACCATTGGAAGAACATCACAAATAATCTTTCTTTATAGTCACCTAAGTGAAGAGGAACGCGACATTGTTGGGTGACTGGTAAAGAAGTTTTGTCGACCCATGCAACACGAAAAGGTTCTGGTGAGGTTCTGTCTTGAGATTGAGTCGGGCTACTCCTTGACTAGAAATAATGTTTCTAGAACTCCCTCCATCAATCATCAATTTGCAAGTTTTATCTCCACACTTCACAAAAGTATGGAAAATACTTGTTCGCTTCCATGAATCACTAGGCAGAGGGACAGATAGAATGCATCGCATAACTCTAACTCGACGTGTCTCACACCCATGTTCATCAATGATGATGTCCCGTCAGCATTTGCATTGTCTTCCTCACCTTCATATTGTGAGTCCATAACTAGAGGACGCTGTGGGCATTTTGACGCAATATGACCTTTGAGTGACAGCAAAAACACTCGACAAAGGAATTGTTATGGAGGGGAAGCCAGGAACTATAGCCTTATAGGTTGCTTAGAAGTATTACCCCTTAACCCAATTGCTTGAGTAGGTGTAAAAGACGAGCTAGGCCTAGATGTAAGTGCTCCTGTTGGTCGTTCAGACAAACTGGAAGTTCATGCTTGTCTAAACTGATTGCTCTGCAGATCGATACGCTTTGCAGACGAATACTGTGATAGAGACTCTACTTCCAAACGTCTTATGATAAGCTTCTTCAAGAGACTCTGGAAAGTTTAACTTGAGCTCCTTTGTATATATGGCTTGAGACCATTAACAACTTGGTAATGGTGCGCCATTCCTCTTCATCCACGTCACATCTAATCATAAGTCATCGAATTGAGAAATATACTCAGAAGCTTGGAGATTTGCCTCAAATTAAGGATTGTTATTACAATTGACTCTTATAATGAGTCGGCACATATTTTTCTTTCAGCTTGGCCTTCATTTCATCCCACGTCTCAATCGGTGGATAACCTTGTCGCTCAATGTTCCTTTGGACATTTCGCCAGTATTTCCTAGCAGGATCCCACGAGCTTGCTTCATCTTCGTAAACCGAACTCGTGAATTTCTCTCATGTCATACCATTCAAAAATAATCTTCCATGATGGCTAACAATCCATGAATGCACTAGGATTCAATCGTCCATCAAACTCAGGAGCTTCAACTTTAACCTTTTTTGGTGATGTCATCAATATGTGTCCTTCTAAGGCCTTCTCTACCATTCCTATGGACTAACTGGTATGGTCTATGATGTTGATCTTTAGGCCCTTGCCCATCCCAAGTATCATCTATGTCATTAGAATCATGATTGGTAAACTCATGAGGAAATGTTCTATTATGTCTTTCACCCATAGCTCTAGAGGAATGACCAATCCTAAGGAAATTACCTCTAAGTTGATTGCGGACTGGGAATTGTTCATTTTTAAGACTTGACTCTCCTCTAATGATAGGTCTTTCGAGTATCCCTTCAGTTGTTTTCCCTGTATCTTGTCTGTATGTCAACTGAATTGCACCCATTATCTCTTCAATTTATTGTCCATGAATTATTTAATTTCTTCTAGCCGCTGGTCCACCATATACCCTTTGAGTCTTTTCAGATTTCTCAAGGATGATTTTGGGTGATTTGGGAGTTATCAGCCATGGCAGATTTTAGGGCAGTAATTTCTTGATCTAATAAAGCTTGCTTATCGTATAAATCACGAATGGTCATACAATGACAAAGATGGTATGGTAAAGTGCAAATTTGGAGTGGATTTAATAACCTAAGGAAGAAAGGCCCCAAGTTGCCCTTACCTAAATAGGTGAAATCCCTTCTTTAACAACACTAACCCTCTGAGAATTCAAAAATTCCACAGGGATCGTATGCTAAATAGGTAATAACTCGAGTGAAGTCTTCACAAAAATCTCCGAAGGTTCAAAAAACCTCTCAGAAAAAAACCGTTAGAAACTTCAACCAACCTAGGGTAATTTTTTGGACACGAGTATAGGATAGGATTGTGTGTGAGGTAGGTGTCTTAGATTATACGAACACTACTATCAAAAGTCACAAATTAACAACATAATGATCAATGTAAATTTTCCTTTTTTCTTTATATATCTATATATATATATATTTTCAACATATTAAAACATGATTAAAAAAATAAAACTAAAATAAAAATTACAATGCTCAAAGAAACCAAAGTACCACACAACAAAGATTTCAGAATTAGTTATGAATAAAACACCTTCCTTTAAGAACCAAATAAGCCAGTTAAATGAGAGGGTCATCAACTTTACCAACGTTGCTTTAGGAGCTCAAAACAAAAAGTTTTTACCCCCATCTAAGTTTTAGATGATGACTTGTGCCTCTCAGCTCCTTCAAAGTTGAACAAATTCCGCGAAAACACACAGAAAACACTGAAATCACGTTCTGGCGGCGACTGTACGGACGACGCGTGTGACGACCCGTGAGGAGCGTGAGACCACGCACAGAAGCTCCACCGACGCGTGACGGTGCGTGTAGCTTCGGGCGAAGGGGGTTTTTCTGGTTCTGACCGGATTTTTCCTTCTAGCACGATGGTAGCGTCCGCTTTGGATCTGGACATCGGGGAAATGTGATTCTGGGTGCTGGCAGCGTGAACAGAGCATGCTGAGCTCCCTGAGAGTTTTCCTTCGATCTCTGGCCGCGGAAACAGCCTAGAGAACGTTCAGACCCAGGCTTTGGTACCAAGTTGATGTAAAACACAACCACTCACGCTCACACTGATTTGAACAGAATAGGATAAGGGAGAAGAAAAACAAAAACAGAGAATGGGAGTTGGGGGGGTGAAGTGAGAACAAAGAAGGTGAAAAGAGGAAAAAAATGACTGAAATATGAGAGGAAGAACAGAAAAGAGATGCAGAACTGAAGAGAGGGAGGGAGCTTTCAGAAAATCATAATGCTTCAAACATACATTCCCCTTCCTGAATACAAAGTCATGCTATTATAAGCATATGAGGTTTCCTTCCTAACAAGGAAACATCCACTTGCTGCCTAATTTCCTTCACAAGAAGGAGGAAACTTACAAAAGTTAATAAGATAAGAATCCACTTGCTACTTGGTTTCCTTCACAATAAGGAAACTTACAAAAGTTAAATGAAAACAACAAAATCACATAAACTAATGAAAGGCAATAAGAAATAATAAATTATTTCCTCCTAAAGTAATATTTGCCATATTTTCTATCAATTATGATCCAAGGGCCTGATGTATTATCATTGAACTGGCTGTACAAACTACGAAACATAACCATAAGTAATGGTGCAAACAAATTAGAAAAAGAATATGGAAATGAGCTAAATAAGGGCCCATTTCGATCCTATTGGGAGCTGCAGTCTTCATCTCCACCTCCAACAGCCATAATCAATTATCTTCTTAAGAAATATGAGTCTAAAAAACATAATTTTTAGGGTCTTTTTGACCTTATTATGTGAACGTTAGTGGACAACGTATATTTACATCAAAATACGAAACAACAGCAAGGACAAAAGTTAATAAGATAAGAATCCCTTGCTACTTGGTTTCCTTCACAATAAGGAAACTTACAAAAGTTAAATGAAAACAACAAAATCAATAAACTAATGAAGGCAATAAGAAATAATAAATTATTTCCTCCTAAAGTAATATTTGCCATATATTCTATCAATTATGATCCAAGGGCCTGATGTATTAGCATTGAACTGGCTTGTACAAACTACGAAAATAACCCATAAGTAAGGGTGGCAAACAAATTAGAAAAAGAATATGGAAATGAGGCTAAATAAGGGCCCATTTCGATCCTATTGGGAGCTGCAGTCTTCATCTCCACCTCCAACAGCATAATCAATTATCTTCTTAAGAATATGAGTCTAAAACATTAATTTTTAGGTCGCTTTGACCTTAATTATGGGAACGTTAGTGGACAACGTAAATTTAACACAAATACGAACAACAGCAAGGCCAACCGCAGAGATTGAAACAAGGGTCCCTATGCAGTATTTAATAACTTCATATTTTGCTGCTTCCAACTGTGCTTTTAAAGCATGAATTCCTGACATTGCATTACATCAAGACATAAGTATGAGAGTAATTGAAAAAAATTCTTCTCCAAGTCATATGCACAACATATCCTTACTTTATCAAGTTTGTTTGTCAGATTTGTAGTTTCAGCACTCTGATTGTTTAATTCATCCCTTATTCTCCTGCACTTGCAGTCAATATCAAGATTAACTAAAAGAAACAGCTATCCTATTTGACATAAGTTTTATAATGCTCGATCATGAACACATTTTGAAATTCAAATCTACCCCCTTTCAAGGTTCAAATCCAGTCGCTGCCCTGCAGTGACTTTATCTATCTCATATCTGCATCACAACCAACGTAATTGCAAATCAAAAATCACATCAAAAACAAACAAAAGTGCAGAAGTTGATCAAAGTTTTACTGCCATACAACAGACCTTAATTCACTACGCATCTTCTCTATGTCATTCCGAAGTTTTCTCAGTTTCATGTTGCAACATAGAAAATGATGGCCCTACATAAAAAATTTTCTTGGACATAAGAGATCAAGCAACCAAGAACTTCCATCTTGAATCTAGTTAAGAACTTGGGGTCATATTAAGAACAATCAAACAACAAAGATATTTTGACAAGAGCATGATGCTCTTCTAAAAATGGTTTAGCAATACAGGTCCAAGAAAATTTCTTACTTGTCTCCCTCTTGTCTTGGGCTGAGCAACGGGCGAGATGGGCTAGCCCGTAGCCCACTTGTATAGTTCTAAATGGGTACAGGCCCCATAGCCAACCCGTTTTGGCTTGTTTAAAAACAGTTGGGATAATCTGGGCAGTTAGAACGGGCTCAGATTAGCCTTTATCTTTAACTCCAAATCATGACACCCACGAGGCCACAACAAAGACTGAACGAGGTGAGCAGCAAACTTGACAGACGAGAGGCTGAGTGGTGATTTGTGAGTTAAGCAAGGGAGAGGCAGAGTGTGGATTGGTGATGAGAAGAGCAGACAATGGAAGGGATTGATTGGTTGAAAGGTTTTTTTTCTAGGGTGAAGATGAAATAGGCCCTACAGAGCATTTGGGAAGTTGTTTTTTTTTTTTATTTTTTTATAAAATATGTAAAAGTGAACCTCTACATGGGCTGGGACGGGCAGCCCGAGAGTAACCCGCAGCCCATCCCGCCCATTTAAATCAAAGCATGGGCTGGCCCATAAATTAGCCCTCCCGTTTTTTTTCTATCGACAGTCGGGTTTTAGCCTGCCTATTTTGACTAGGTATGAGCGGGTTTGGCAGGTCAAGAGTTGTTTGCTCACCCCCAAGGTACGTAAAACCGGACCGGTCATTAAACCGGTCATGGCACTGGGTCACGGGGTTAGTGGTTCAATCAGGGTTGAACCGGGGGTTGAACCGGTGGCAAACCGGTCATGATTAAAATAATACAATTTAAATAAAAAGACATTAATTATAAAACATTCAAACCAAATCCAACACTCAAAAGTCTAACAAATAATAAAATACTATATTTTTGGACTTAGCATACTCTATCTCTAATTTTTTTTTTGTTTTGACTTTAATTTTACTTTTTTTGTTATTTTTTTTCCGAACTCAGAGCTGTGAAAAATTAAAAATGAAAAAAAAAAATCAAAAACGACGTCGTTTTGGGGGGTAAAAGTCTGAAAAAATATTAACCCGGTTACCCAGTCAACCCACCGGTTATCCGGGTTATACCTACCGGTTTGAACCCAGGTTGACCGGGTTACACCGGTTCACTCCTTCACCGGGTTAAGTGCAAACCCAGACCGGACAGGGACCGGTTCACCGGTTTCCGGGTGACCCCCGGCCGGTCCGTCGGTTTTCAATACTATGCTCACCCCCCCACCCGGGTTGTCTACATCAAAAGAATGGTTTCTATAAACCCATTTGAATTGATAGCGAAGATGAGTGGAGGTTGACAAAGCAAAAGTATGTTTTCCACTGTCAAGTGTTAATAGAATTAGGTGTAAAGGCAATACTTTACATTAAAAAAAAAATCATATATCACCCCCATAATTAATGGAGACAAAACGGGAGGACAATATTAAAACAGTTATTTTCAGACACCCTAAAGTAGAAAGAAGAAAACAACAATAATTTCTACACCAAATAGAGCTCAAATAGTACAGTAATCATCAAGCCAAAGAGATTACACACTAATAAATTGATGTTAACTAAATAGAGTACAATAGAACAAATCCTAAACAGCAAATGTCATTCATCTTAATATAAGATACTAATATTCTCTTTCCTATTGTCTTACATTCTTACTTGGTTAAAATCACCTTTACTTTTTTCCTTTGTTTTTTCACATAATCAAGGATTATGCATATCATATGTTAGCATGCTTTTGTTCGGAATTTTTTAAGCTAGATGTTCCTTTTGACTCTTTTAAGCAACATAAGATAACAAAGAAGACAGCTTAACTAAGGGGTGGTAGTAGAAGTTAAACGTACGAGGGATGCCTAAAATCACAAAGTTTCACTCAACACAAACATTCACTTCTTTCAAGTGAAAAGCAGCAATTATCACAGTTGAAAAATGAAGAACCTGCTTCAGCATCTTCTATAGATGTATCAAAGTCAAAAGTGACCAGGAGCCATTGTGAATGGGAGAAAAGAGAAAATCATCATAGGCACCACATGTTGAAATATGGGGAAGAAGAACTAATTGTGAGCAAAATCAAAAGTTACAATAAGTCCATTTGATTTTATGATTTAGATCAGATGGCTACTATTCACTTTATGGAAACTCATCCCAAAAGGGGTATTAGATTGTGCTGCAGCTGCTTAGAAAAGATAAGAATGAGTTCTCAGCATTCACAATAGAACAACAACAAATGCCCTTAATAAAACCTTTCCACCCTATCTCAGCAATTTCACATTTGGCATCATCCAATTCCACCCAAATGTCCTTATCTGTGCAAATGGTAGTTAATGCACATGATTAATAAGTACCTGTGAACTTTGTACTTCAGATTTGAATTTCGAAACGTTGGCTTCTTGAATCATTTCAATCTTGAAGACATAAAGGATAACAAAATCAGCTAATAATAGATCTTGCATTGAATATTACCATACTATGAGTTAAAAAATAATTAGGAAAAACAGGAGGGAAAACCCACATTGGTATAAGTATTGGAGAAAAATTGATTGTGCCCTTATAGTAAGCTTTGGAAAGCTTAAGATGGTTCAAAGAAGTGAACAAAATTACAATGCAGTAGCAAAGGATCTTACTTTTTGTATTTCTCCTTTGGAAACAAATGATTGAGATGCATTTTCTATAGTGTCATTCAAAACTTCAGTTATGGCAGCAGTTATAGCCTCCGCCTGTTTTGAGGGCACACCTTGCCCTTCCAATCTCCTAACCTGAACATATAACAGGATGACACAATCATGCCTTAAAAAAACAAAATTCTAGCCCAAAAAAAAATCTCTTCTATTGAGATCTAAAAACTAGAATGGTCAGATCTTCCAATGGATTTAAAATGGAAAAAAGTCATAAAGGTTCCCAAAAAGAAATTGGGTGGGCATTCAAAATTAGAAATTTAAAATACAATCACTAGATAAGAAAGAGTGAAGCAAATTACAAGGGCTAACGTATCAACGAGAAACAATCGCTTTCCGTTAGAATTTGCCAGTTGAGATATGCGTCTACAATAAATTTGTTTAGTCAGGGGGGAAACAGCTGAAGACACTCTATCCATGATAGAGTGCGTTTTGGAAGCCCCAACAACCAGGCTCATCCCTGAATTTGTTCCTAACTGCCCCACCCACTTGCCAGCCGCAGCCGCGGCCATCATATTCCGCGAGTAAAGCACAAATATCTTTGGTAACTTTTTTTCCAACCCAAAAATTTGACCCGAATCGCCTTCGCAGCAACTATTAAAACAAAAGGAGACAATCATGAACAAAGATCCACAGGAAAAGCTAGGATGAGAACAATTCCAGGAAAAGAAACAGATCAATCAAGATTCCCAAGTTGTTCGTCAAACGCAGTAAAATACGAAATGTTGTTCTTTCATCTTACTTCCAACCTTATCCACGTTTTTGGCAACCAAAGTAAAGTGAACAATCGATTATCATGATTTTTTTCTTAAAAAAAGATGCTTCGTGTTGGGAAGTGTGAGATGGACCGTACCCTAATCGCAACGCAAGGAGGAGGAAGGGTTAAGGAATGACGAAAGAATCAGGAACTGGCTAGTCAATTAGGCCGCAGTGCGATCGAATGCACTCACCGACTCACGTTTGCTCAACAAGTCACGAATCAAACAACACGGAGCTCGATTCGGGTTTTAGATGTCAACCGGTCACCGAAGAAAGGTGTGAGAAGTGAGAGCCGCTTGGCAGGCTGCGCGTCTCTTCATACGCACTGTTGGATGAATCTAACGGTTCAAATCCCGCCACGTCACCAAAACAGGGGACCCCGGTTGATCATATGCGCATTTTGGTGCCCTCGTAGAGCGCGATCTTCGTGTCGCCAATGAATAGAAACGAGTTAGTTGGCTGGTTCAGTTTTATCTAATTCGCGATACTCTGCCCGTTTGGATAGCAAGTAAAATCGATTTTTTGAGTCAAAATTAATTTTTTAATGAAAGTTATTCAAACAGGAAAAAATTTTAGTAATTGATTATTAAATCAGAACCACATTTTAAAATAAATTTTGAGAGATTGTTTGTAGATTTAATTTTATTATTAAATAATATATTTTACTTGTTAAATATATTTAATTCTTAAATCAACTTTAACAAATTTAATAATATTAAATATATTTTTATCAATAATTTAATTTTAAAAAGCAATGTCCCTCATGATAATTTGCACAACTAAAATCAATTTTAGTATCCAAACAAATTGCATTATAACATAATGGAAAAATTAATCTTTTAGTCTTCCAACTTTTAAGTCACTTGTAACTCAGTCCTTCAACTATGACTCGCTGTGACTCAGTCCCTCAACTATAACTGGCCTATGACTCAGTCCCTTAACTTTTGAATCATTTACAAATTAGTCCCTTAACTTTTGTTAATTTTTTTTTCATGTTAACTTCTATCTCATATTAATGAATAAGAAGAGGGTATTTTAAAATAATATATGAACATTTTTTTACCCCTCTTATTTGATAAAAAAATTTAAAAAAAATTAAAAAATAAGAACTGAGTTATAGGTAAATCAAAAGTTGAGGGACTGAGTTGCAATGAGTTATAGTTGAAGGACTGAGTCGCAGTGAGTCATAGTTGAGGGACTGAGTTATAAGTGAGTTAAAAGTTGAAGGACTAAAAGATTAATTTTTCCTAACATAATTAATTATAATTAAAATCAATCATATAAATTAATTATTTTTATAATCAATTATACTCAACTGAAATTCAAACGGGTCCAGTGTCAATCTGAGATAACTCTATCAACCCAATTCATTTATTTGGGAAAAAATTATTTAATATTTTAATTTTGAAAAAATTAATCTTTTAGTCCTTCAACTTTTAACTCACTTGTAACTCAATCCCTCAACTATGACTCGCTGCGACTCAGTCCTTCAACTATAACTCGCTGCAACTCAATCCCTCAACTTTTGATTTACCTATAACTCGGTCTTTATTTTTTAATTTTTTTAAAATTTTTTATCAAATAAGAGGGGTAAAAAATGTTCATATATTATTTTAAAATATCCTCTTCTTATTCATTAATATGAGATAGAAGTTAACATGAAAAAAAAAATTAACAAAAGTTAAAGGACTAATTTGTAAGTGATTCAAAAGTTGAGGGACTGAGTCACAGGCGAGTTATAGTTGAGGGACTGAATCACAGCGAGTCATAGTTGAGGAACTGGGTTACAAGTAACTTAAAAGTTGGAGGACTAAAAGATTAATTTTTCCTTATTTTTATTAGAATTTTATTCAGTTTGTTGAATTTTTGTTGGAACGGTTATTACATGTATAAGATTTTTCTCTTTTTATTGAATTTTTGTTGGATTATTTGAGCAAAAATGATAATTCTCATTTAAATATTCATTTTTTATATTCAAGTAAGTGTGTGTGTGAACTATACCATATTATTTTAACTAAGAATTGTTTAACTCCTGATTGACTTACTATTGAATTGTTAATCGTTAATTATTGTTTAAATTGATTCAATGATAGATTGAATTTTTAATATTTTACATATCATTGTACTATCAATTTTAAAGGCATCCATACATACATCTGGATCCTCTCAAAAGCTATCCTTTTATTGCATCTCTTAGCTATAGAAATCCTAGCCATTTAATTAACCATATTTAGTGTGTCATATTTTGTCATCTCATATTAAAATAATTTTAAAAAATAATTGTTTTATTTTATATTTCACCATTTTAGATATATCTTTATACTAATAATTCAAAATGATTTTTTTTATTTTCAAAAATTATTTTAAAAAATTACTCTGCAGATTTTTTTTAAACAAGTTTCTTCAAAAAAAAAAACCAAACTGAAAACCCCTACAAACTTTTAGAATAAGCCTTTAGAACAAGCCAAACTAGTCAGATTGTTTGTGGGAACTTATTGTCTGATTTATTCAAACTCTTATTTACTTGTTTAACAAAAGCATGTTAAAAAAGGTTTACAGAATAACTTTTTAAAATAAATTTTGAAAATAAAAAATATATTTTGAATTATTAGTATAAAGATATATATATATATATATATATAAAGTGATGATATAAAGTGTGAAAGAATTATTTTTTAAATAATCTAAAGTGGTGAAATGATATGGCAAGATATGCGTTATTAAATATGAATTGAATGATCAGGATTTTTGCCGCTGAAGACGCTTAGAGGATCCCTTCTGAGAGGATCCATATTCATCCATAAGGTTGTACAAAAATCCTCCAATTTAGTGTGATTTAATTTAACCCGAGACAAATCCGATCATGTTCAGTCCAGATAAAAGTTGGTCTTTTAAGACCAAAAAGGCCATATTCTTTCTTCAGGTTGGACTAGATAAGACACCAAGCATCTAAACCACTTGGTTTAATCTGGTCCTATAAATTTATTTAATATAATTATAATTAATGTATTAATTGTTATTATAATAAGTTAATTTGTAATAATAATTAGTATTTTTTGTACTTGTGAAGTCATGAATAATGAGCAAAATGCTAGCATTGACTAACATTAATCTTCTCCTTTTATTAGTGAAATTTATTGTTAATTTGATATAATGGACTTTAGACATGTTGAAGGTTATTTAATGTTGTTGAAGGTTATTTAATTTGAATAATTTGTATTATAATTGAAATATTTTTCATTGTTGTTGGAAATTATTGTGAATTTATAATTGTTATTGTTGTGATAAATTTTATATGACTATAAGTAATTTTATTATGTTACTTAAGTTTATTGTGTTAAAATAGATTGTTACCTCTCATAGATGAAAAAGAAAAAAAAGTGAGATGCTGGACAAAACCAAGACCAGTCTCCTAGTCCTACTGGACTAGTTCAGGCCTATTCAGTTTCGGGTTATATTAGGACCAGATCAAACTACAGATTACTTAATTCAATCTTTTTAATAAAAAAGATTAAATTTTGAATTAAATTGAAATTCGAGTTAATCTTTTATAGGGCCCTATCCTTCATACGCCGGTGAATTTAGGAGTTCACCATCATTCAAAAGACTGTTGATATGGTATTCCATGCCCCTGAGGATCCGTTCATAGGCTGAGGTGGGGCTTCAAAAAGCCACTAGTCCAATATCTAGTAAACAAATGCATCTCTAATTAAAAGAAGCCTATTAATCGCAGACCATATGACCAGAATGAAAACCAACAACAGCCAACACCCTGCGATGTGGATTCGTCTGTTTTCCTTTGCAATGGGGCATAAAAAATGGGGAGTATATCGGTAAAGGATTCTGAAAATAATTTAATTTCCTAAAAAATTGTTAAAAAATAAACATTAACAATTAAAAAGTTAAATTCTTGTTTTAATAATTATTTAATGCATCCAAGTCCTTATTATTCCATGCATGTTTAAAATTAAAAATATAAAAAATATTTTATGCTATAATTTCTTTTCTGAATACATGTTGAATAAAAGACATCTCATTTTATTTCATAATATTTCATCAGAACCTCTCATAACGTGAATTTTTAAATCAAATATGGTCTAAATAACAATATACATAACTAAAAGGGCTTTGAGTTAAGTTAAAAAAGCTAGTCTCCAATATTTGGGAAGATGTATCTATATATAATGTCTCAATGTAACATTACTCAAAAAAAATACTTCCTCCATTAAAAAATATAAAGTATTTTTTTAATTTTTTAAGGTATGATCATTGTTTTTTTTAAATATCTTACTGAATAAATCATTTTATATTTATTTTAGAATAGAATATCCTCTTAAATAAGAATAAATATGAAAAAATAGAATTAGTTAAGAGATAAATAACTACTTTATTGAGGGCGAGATTTGATTAAAAATAACTTATATTTTTTAACGAATGAAGTACAAATCAAGTTTCTGAACCATCACACTTCTTATCATCATCTAGCACCTTTATACAATAAGTTGGGGATGGTAAAGATAACCGAGCAAACAAAAGCCTGACTAGTAATCAAATAAGCACAAGTAGTATTAACTTTTCTAAACATAAATTCTAAAGAAAAGGAACTATTATTAAAAAAACAAAAATCTAGCAATCATAGGGCATTGACTCTCAAGATCATGTCTAGTAATCAGATATATTGCTTCAACACATTCCATATAGGCCTTAACTCTCACCATATCCAATAATCTATGTAGTTAATGATCTCCGTGATAGCAGGTGGAAAGCTTCCCACTATGGATTTGTAACCTGCAACCCAGTTTGCATTATTATCTCTAATAACAATACCAACATCTCGAGATACCGTCCTTATAGGAGCCATCCACATCTAGTTGAACCTCCACAAAATTAGGATTTAAAAACAACATATTTTATCACAAAATTTAGTTCCATATGCACCATGTTTAATTATAAATCATAAAAAGAGTAATGCTAATTTTAAAACTACATAAAGAAAAATTTAAATTTATAATTTATTACTCCTTTGTTAAAATCTAGATAATAACTCATTATATTTTATAATTTGATACTTCATAGAATATTTTATTCCAAAATTTATTACCACGAGCATATTAAAAATATAAAGAATAAATTATTTTATTTTAGAATACATTTTTTTATACATATTGAAAAATAAATGATTTATTTTTATTTCATAATCTTTTAGCTTGTGCAATTTTAAATCCAATCTAAAAATTATTTGATAATTTTTTGCCATGTATATATTAGAAATCATAGGGAAAAAGGGCTTAAATGCTTCAGAAC